AGGAAATTGAAGCATAAAGAGGTTAATTTTTCTAGTTATTGTAAAACTAACAACTAGTTATTAGCTAGAAAGTATCAGAGCTGGAATTCAAACCTAGGGAGGCTAGTTCCAGAAATCAGAAACAAAGTGTTTAACTTCACATGTTCTACTTCTTGTACATTTGGTAAACATAGCACACACACACACACACACACACACATTTTTTTAATGTGATAATTCTCGTTAAACAGGTCTAGTTTTTGGTGATAAGCCATTTCCTTTTATTTTTCCAGATAAAGGAAGAATGAAGTTAAGACTGACATGAATAAGTTTCTAACTCTCAAGGGATATCACAGAGGGTAACATTTGCTTTTAGAGTAATTTAATATCGTTTTCTGAAAGTTGCCATGCTATTGCGTTACCTGGCAATATCAACTCAATGTCAGTCTCTGTTCAAACACCAGTTGTGCAAAGCAGGTCAGAGTAGCTGGTAGCCAGGCAGACTCAATCGCAGATTGTCTCTCTGGGCACCAAAATTATAACTGGCCACCTAATCACGATGCCTCTTAACTTTAGAGAAAAATATAGAAGATACAAAATATAATTAGGTATAAATCACAGGTAACTATATTTAACAAATAACTCAGGCACAGATGGTGTTTGTTAAAATATGCAAATCATAGGGGTGTTCTTCATTTGTTCATTCACTCGTTCAACACATATCCACTGAGTACCTATGTGCCAAATGCTGGGGCAAATGCCGGGAACACAGAAGAACGACACAGGGGCTGGCTGCTAAGGGATTGAAATCTGGTGGGGGCCACAACAGTGTACTATGATGTGCTTCTGGAACCCAAATGAAGGCAAGTCTAGTGATGGAACAGAATGAGGACAGCTTTGGAATCACATATACCTGAGTCCTAATTCTGCCTCTTGCAAGCCCCTTAACTCATTCATTCTCTGTTTTGTCATCTGAAAAGTGGAGATAAAAACACTCACTTCACAGGGTGGTTGTCAGTACTAAATTCTCTCTGTCCAAAATATCCCAGTTCTCTTTTCCCACCTTTCTTCGAGCTTCCCAATCACCCCATGTTCCCAGCCTACCAAGAAAAAAAAAATAGCTACAGGAGTTGGAGAAGGTTTCATTCACTTAAGTGGTGACATATGAGCTGGGGCTTGAAAGATGAGTAAAAGGTGAAGTTGACAGGTAGAGCTGGGAGCGAGGGCTTCCAGGAAGTGGAGACAGTGTGTTCAAAAGCACCAATGCGTGGAAGACCATGGCACTGGGGAGCTGGGAGGCAGTGAGTGTTTAGAACAGGGGGTATACAGAGGGGTGTAGTTGACCGGTGCCGTGAGTGTCAAGCTGGAAAAGGAAGGTGAATGACTGGTCAGCTGTGTGCATGTAGTGCCATGTCCAGACCAGAGAGACAAAGGCCGACCTCCCTGCAGCTGAGTATTGAATACTGACCACATGATGCATGTTTTCCTCTGAGCTAAGTCAGGGTGCAGCGTGGGCTCTGCTCTCCCTTTTCACCTCATGGATGGGCTCAGAGTCTGGGCCTGACATCCCGATTTGGACACTAGAGTTGGATCTTCTAAGATCCTAGATCTCGTTTGATAATTCTATTTTGAGATCCAATATCTAGTTGTTTCATCACGTGTGAAACTGTGACAGTGAGTGATCTATTCAAGTGTCTTTTTCCTACTACCGGTAAGAAATAGTAGCCCATTTAGAGAACATGACACTAAAGAAACTCAACCATAGATTTAATTCATGGTATTACTCAGTTTCTCACATAAATCAATTCAAATTCATAGAAAATAAAATCATTATACTGACATTAAAACTTTATAGAGGCTCATGTAATTATGATAAAAAAACAGATCATTACTTTTATAGTAATTATTTTAAAAATTATAAGCTTATGGCAAAGCATGCCATTTAGGGTTAGCTAGATTGTAGGCAGGAAAACTGTAATCAATTTTAGTAAAGAAAATGCTCAGAAAAAAAGGGAGGTGAGCTGTGGAAGGGGAGACATTGAATTTGAAGCCAGAAAACCTTGTTCATGCTCTAGTCTGTCACTTATTGGCTCTGTGTCTTTGGAGAGTCAGTTAAGCTCTCTGAACCTCACTTTCCTCTCCCACCAAATGGGGAAAATAATAATACCTACATGGTTGGCTTATTTTAGTATCAAGTGGCATAACATATGCTATGGTGCTTTGTAACCTAAAGCCACTTTACTAATCATAATAATTATTAACTAGAAAACTAATCCATGTTAAAAGTACTATCAAAGAAAAATATACAAAAGCCTACTAAAATCACTGCTATCAAACTTCACAATGATAATACATAAACCAAGAAACTTCACACGTACCATGTTTGAATAATAATTGTGTTCTGTTTCCTTCCTAAGGCATTCATTTATACCAAAATTTAGTAGTGGCTGTTCTCTGGATCATTAGATCTTAGAGATGTTCCTCCAAAAAGGGCTCATGCTCCTTCTCAATACTGCATGCTCCATCTCAACTTAAAGAAACTGATTCAAACCTCTGAGGAACCCCACCAAAACTTTAACATGGTGTTTTCCAAACTTATTGGAGTGTAGAACTCTGTTTTCAAGTTTTAGCTTGAGTTAAAAGAATATATTTGGGGAATATTTTTTATACAGACTTTTCTTAAAACAAAAGCATCCACAGCAAAACCAATAACCATTTCTAGGACCAGTGTGTTAATATAATTTTAGAGTGGAGAGCTTCAATCAATTCAGCTTTGTCAAAATGCTGGTAAATTCTAACTGCTCTGTAAGCTTTGTTCTGGATTGCAAACATTTGGTTTTCCTCTATCACTAGGTGAATGTGTAGTACTGTCTGAAAAGAACATAAGTCAGGAAAACAATGTATCAAGAAACGTTCTCCATTTTTCAGATGGAGGATCTGTGTCACTAAGAACTGAAATAGTCACCGTGGCCAAGGTTGCGTAGCTGGTAGGCGGTGGCTCTGGGATTCAGACTCAAGCAGTCTGCTCCAGACTCAACGATCTGATGATAAATCAAAATATGTTTCACAATGTGGTCCGGCAGAGATATTCATGTTGCTAGTGAGAGCTGCTCCATATTCTTTCAAATACTGATTTAAAACACAGCCTTGAGGACTGTTGAGTCAATTCAGCATAGCCATTAATAGCTCAAGTTTTTGACTGCAGCATGTGAGATAACGGCTGTCAGTTGACTCGCACCACCCAGACATTGCTTTGAGCTCTTCTAAAACTCTAATGATGTGCAACAGCTACAAAGGATGACAAATTTGACCTTGACTCAGCACTTCCTTGCTTTATAGACGAATGCAACTCATTTTACCTCAACCTATGATCTGATTAGTATTAACAGCATATATAGACGGGTAACCCATAGTTCTCTAATAAATTAGGCAATAAATCACTGTTTTTGATCTTTTCTGTACTAGCTAAGATATAAATGTCAAGAATTGATTAAATAAGCAGTTCATTTACAAAGCTGAGCAGTTGCACAGTAAACTAGTATCTGGCTGAGAAATGCATTGATCCCATCTTCAGGTGCACTTTCTCTGGAGTGGCTTTTCCTTTTAGATACCTGGGTTTTGCTTTTACTAAATCTCAGGTTAGGCAGAGAGAAATATATACCTGTCTTGATCTCTCAGTAACCCTCTCCCAATCCTACCAATTTTGACATTTTAGTAGCTTAGGAAAAGCTGCTTATATTTATTAAATAAGAATCAATGGAAAAGTGTGATGTTGTAAAGATAATCTAGTTTCCACAAGCTTATAGGCACTTTAAAATTATTCTGATGTATTCTAATTTCACAAAATGGAAACTTGTAGTTATGAGAAACTAAAGAAGTATACCATATTTGGTCAGATAGTAGATAATCAGCTTTCATAAAACAAATATTTCTTATATACTGCTTCTTATCTATTTTCTCTAAGTTCCAAAATAGTAACTCCAGTGAAGATATTTATTGCATCATCTTTCTAGTGAATTTTCCTTGTTGGGTGGTTTTAGTACAATTTGATGTGTGGATGTATGCATTAATGTCGTGTTTTTAATGTTCCTGATTATTATACATCATCCGGGTGGATTTTTGATGTTGTTATCCTGTTTTTTAGGGTGCTAAAGTGCTGCTGGTGTTTTAGCTAATGGGAACTGTAAAATGAGATGGTTCTGGGTATTCATGGTATGAACAAACAGTGAGACTTACCATTGTGAATCAAGTTCAATTGAATATTAGAGAATTCAGAAAGGAATTTGTGTTGCCTGGTGAGTTTGCTAAACTGTAGGGTCAAGTCTCCATAAGAGAAGATTTTTTTTCCCTAAAGAATGACAAATGAGTACTAAATAAACAGGAGGTTGTGAACATGGGCCTTCTTTGAAACAAGAATTCTGGTTAACATCTGAAAATGGTTTTAATATAAAGTTTTCCTTAAAATGGTAGGTAGTGCCTTTACTAAAAGGAATTAAAATTATAGTGCTACTTATTATATCCTAATTCCTTCTTCATATATCTGAGGATTATGCTTAAACTGAAATCCCAGGGAAAAAAATCACCACAAAGACCCCTACCCGCGGCTAGGTGGTAGCAAGTTATTCCCTGCTTGGCTCTTGCATAAAGTGACTTTTACCGTGAATGACAGGTGTTTCATTTGTACCCCTTCCCCAAATGTTTATTTTTTTCCCTTTATGTCAAGTTGAGGTTTGACATCCACAAACCTGGAGGAAGTTTAGAGTCACCAACCTGAGAGACCCTTTTACAGACCTCCAAATGAAAATCAACCTGTATTCCTGCATGTAGGACAGATCCAATAAGAGCAACCTTGACTAATGAAGAAACTTAATGGTCAAAAATACTACTACTAATAATAATAACCAACTCACTCACACCAAGACTTTCTCTGTTATTGGGGACCCAGGAAGGAAGCGCAGGGGCTCGCAGCTCCCAGGCTTCCCTCTTGAGGGACAGCTGGACAACTCAGCCCCACCTGGGAGGATGCTTTTGTTTACATCTCAAGTTGCCGCCTGGCGATTGGCGGCTGGGCTCGAAGGGAGGGTCCGCAGGAAACGCGACACTGGGGATGCCGCCCCCTATCATACGATGGAAATTTCCACTCTTTAGGAAGGCGAAAAGAAAAGAAAGAAGGGTCCCTCTATCCACCCTTTTCCGATACTTCCCCTGGATCCTAATCGGAAGAGAGTAGAAAAAGAGGCAGGTGAGTGGAGCTTTGTATATTTTCTGTTGGACTTTAGAGACGCGTCAATGTGCAAACTTGTGGCTGGATCCCAGCCGGGCTGGGTGTTTGTGTGTGTGTGTGCCCGCACGGGGACACTCACACGTGTGCAGCCCAGTCCCTCAACCGTCTGGGGCTTAGGTTAGGCGTTGCTGCTGGTCATACCTTGTTGATGGTCCCTATTTATTCTTTCCGTTTTCTAAAGGATCGCACTTTGCATGGGTTATTGCAGGCTAATGACCAGGTTGACTAGAAATTAAGTAAACCAGAGCACTCGCAGGGAAAGGAGACCGGCTGGGCAGGCTCATGTGTGACTCCGTTTGCAAGGAAAGGTGGCTATGCCAAGGCAGCCTATTCCCGGGGGGCAGAAGGGGGGTGGCTGGGGCGTGGGGCACCCCCGCCCGCGGCCCCGGGATTCCCTCGGCGCTTGGATTTCGAGTTGGGTGTACTGGGACCGCTTCCACCGCCGTGGCGGCGCCGCCTGCCTGGTGGAGGGGACCCGACCTCGCTGCGGGAGCTGGCTCTGCGTCACCTCGGGATCCTGCTGGCCAGGTGTTACCCGAGTCGCGGGACCCAGGCCGGGCGGGGACACTGGGTGCAGCACTCAAAATAGAGCGGTCGTCCTTGACAGCTGGGCAGCCCGGGAGGCCAGCACAGTTCCCCGGGTCGGAGGCTCTGCCCGGGGATCCCCCGGGGAGTCTCCTGTAGGGAAGAGGCAGGCGAGAGCAGTGCTGGGTCTGGGGGCCTCTGCTCCCGGCCGTGGGCGGGTTCGAACGCTGAGCCCGGCTCCCGAGGGAGGCGTCCGGCGCTGTCGGACTGAGAAGCCTGGGGCGCGCTGGAAAGAAGGGAGGGACGGTGCAGAAATACGGAGCGGGAAAGGCGAGTGGCGTCCAGGGAAAGGAGAGAGGGCGTCGGAGAAGAGAGGAGAAGCCCACGGAGGAGAGGAGAAGGGAAGAATGATAAGAGGCCAGACCTCAAGAGGGTGGGAGTGGGAGGGAAAATGGAGAGAAGAGAGAATGAAGGGAAGAGAGAAGGGAGAAGGGAGCCCGGACGCAGGGGATCGCTGGGAGGGTGAGCCGGGAGCACCCCGGAGTCCAGGAGAGAGAGCTGAACGCAGGGACCAGCCAGCCGTGCGCCGGGGGCAGCGAGCAGGGAGAGGTGCTTCCCCTGTCGGTGGCACAGGTGGGCGCTGCGCCCCCGGTCGGCGCCGGCTGGGGGTAAAGGCGAGGAGTGAGGGAACCCGTGAGTCCCCCAGCTCCTTTCAGTGATGCAGCAGGGAGAGGTGGAGAGAGTGTCCCTTCTATGCGCGCCGGGACCAGCCCAGGGATGCGCACCGGGCTGCTGACTTGGTTGGAGGAAAGGGGATGAACTAAGTTGGGAACCCAGGCCCGGGAGACTTGGTCGCTAGTGTGCCAGGGCGTGATCAGGGGAGTGAGGGGGTAGCGGTTGGGGGCCTTGAGAGACTTGGCGAGGGCCGGGAGATCCCGGGCCGCAGTCCTCCGCGGACCCTTTAGATACCTGGGCCTGGTTTCACTGGAGGAGGACCGGTTGGCTCTTGATATGTATTTCTCAATGTGAAAGGTGCATCTCTACCTGTCTCAGGGGGATCTGAGATCCTGAGAAAAGAGATGAAGGAAGTAGCGGGGCCCTGGAGGTGTAAGTGGACCCTGGCTGCCCTCTTCCCACCGCAGCCCCCTCCCCCGAGGCTCCCGGACCTGCTTTCTTTGTTATCCATTGGGAGCTGCACAGCTTCTCACCCTTAAGGGGAAGAGGCAGCGGACTTCACCGTGGATGGCCTGTTTCCCAATTTCCTGGTTTCCTATATCCATGTTTTTTTGCTTCCAGGCAGCGCAGACATAATCATGATGACTGAGTTGTCTTATGTTGTAAAGAGAGCATCCTACACCTAGATCACAATTTCCAGGGCCTGGTAACTAGGGCTACAGCTTCCATGTGTTTCAACTTTGGTTATTGCCTTTTACAGACCTTAACTTTTTTGTGGGGGCTGGGGTGGGGAAATTAGTCCTCTCTCTCTTATTTTTTTTTTTTTGTCCCCACCCCAAACAAGTCCCTAATGAGTCGGTGATATTAGTGGACTCTCCCATACGGAACACAAGAAATGGTTGAGTGTGTGTGATGTACTCTCTCAAATTCTAAAAAATCAATCTACAGAAAATCTGTGTTCTGGGTAGAAGTTTGTGACAGAGACACTAAAGAGAATATCTGATCTTCCCAAATTACTGAATACCATGTGTTCAGAGTCAGGAAGATTTTTGGGCTAATTTTATCACAAAACATCAAAAAGCAGGAAGACTGGCAAAGGGGATACATAACTTTCGAGGCTGCAGGGATACGAGCTCTTCTGCCAGAGTATGCAGGAGGCTAGCGTCTACTAGATTAATGATAATAATGGCTCACCCATACATATCAATTATTATATTCCTTATGTGTTACTAAGCGCTTCTTTTATGTTATTTGACCCTCATAACAACCTTATGAGAGAGATTCTATTATGATACCCATTTTATAGATCAGGAAATGGAGACACACAGTGTGGGGACACAGAACATCTTTGGAAAATTCTATTTGGACATTCATTATTCTTCAATGTAAATGAACAGTTCTCTTTCACTTTGCACTTTTTCATGGGCAGAACTGCACAGGTGACTTCTAGGGACCCAAAGCTGACTTCTTGATCTACTACAGACTAATCCTATCCAAAGACATGATCATGCAGCTCAAGACTGAATCTTTGCAGCCCCAGGACTGGATTTTTTTAATAAGTGACATTTGAGAAATGCATAGTATAACTATGGTTACTATGAGATTATCAAACGCTGAGGGCAGGCATAATAAATATAGCACCATGTGGACTTCTGTGTTAAATGTTTTTCTTCTTCTATGTCATTGTCTTTGTTCATTTCTGCAGTGTTTTTCAGGTACCTATTCCGTTTTTTCCCCCTTATCCTTTGTACTGACTCATTATTATTTTCTAACTATTTTTAAAAACTTAAACTCCTTTTTTTTTTACTTTTTACATATCAAAGCAATGATTTCTATAAAAATCAAAGGTTTAATGGGTTTTAATGACTAGTTACATATTTTTAATATATATCAAAATAATAATAGAGTTTTTTAAAATGCACTTCCATGGATCACCTGAAATCATCTGGCGTGCCACCACCGCCCTGATGACATCTTGTAGGAAGGGTGAGGGGTGGGAGTAGGGAAGAGACAAAGGAAAGGAAAGGAGGACTCTCGAAGCCAGCCTTTGACCTAAGCCCTTTACATATGTGAATCACATTTCATCATCACACAGTTCTCCATACCATGGGTGTTTGTTAGCTCCATTTTACAGAGCAGGAAATTGAAGCTCAGAGAAATTAAGGAAAGAGCCAAGGGTCACACAGCTAGGAAGTGACAGTCCCTCTTACACCCAAGTTCTTCCTTCCAGTAAAGACAGCAGTAAGATCAAGACTACTAGGAGAACAAAAACTTAAGGAAAGAAGAGACTTAGAAAGATGTTACACAACAAAGAAGGAAGCGAGAGATAGGAGAATGGAAAAAACCAAATCACTTTCATGGGACTGCTAATCTTCCTCTGGACTTCCTTCACTATTTTTGTAATGACCTAATTCCATTCATTCATTCCACAAACCATCATTGAGTATTATTATCTTCCAGGAACCGTGTTAGGGAATTTCTTTTATGCCTGTCTCCCTAACACCTACCACTGTCCTGGGCAAAGACTAGGTGCTCAAGAAATGTTTGTTGAATAAATGAATTAGTCTAGTGGGGGGAAGAATAAATAAGCAAACAGTTGCATTAACAGCATGTTAAGGGCCAGGGAAAGATCAGATTTGAACGCTCTGCCACTGAACCTGGCTTAGGAAAGGGGTCAGAGAACATTTCAGGACCAGGTGATGCCTGAGCTGGGTTTTGAAGCAGAAATAAATGTTAGCCAGGCAAAGAAGTGGAGGAAGTGGGAGAGAATTCTCAACAGAAAGACCAGCCTGAACCGAGAAAGGAGAAGGTGGGAGCCACTTGGGAATTTAAGAGTTCAGTTCTGGGAAGTGGGGAATGCTAGGGAAGGGGCTGGGAGGGAGGTGTGGTCTAGAAGGTAGACGAGGTGGAAGACGTGGTCTGGGAGGTTCTTGCACACTCTCTCTGCAAGTGTCCCATAGCTCTCTGCCCCTCCCTTGGATTTTGGAAGTGAACTGTAGACAAAATGACTGAATACAGGAATTAGCAATTCATTTTATTATTTTATCGTTTTATTATGGCCCTATAATAGTGAACTATAGTTTTTTAGATTCCTTATAATGTTAGTGTTTTAAAATCCAAGCTCAAATGGAAGGACGAGACTCTGTTGTCCCCTGTATGGGAAAACCAAATTATGTTTCTTGTTCTCAAGGGGATAGCTTATTTTAGCATAGATACAACCCACATAGTTGTGAAGAAGACTTCCAAACAAATGCTGGTGGTGGGAGAGGGTTCTCTCTTTATCTTAGTTTTTATTGGTTTTATTTTTTATTTTACTATATTATAAGGAGTCAGGAAATAAAAATGTGTTTTCAAAAAATAAGGTGAGTTAGGGGAATGGACTGTCCCTCCTATCTCCAAAGTAGATATTTACGCCAGTTAAGATTTTGGCTTTTGATAACGGACTTTGAAAACTTAATTCCCCGTGTTTCTTCTTTCTTTAGGAATCTTTTATACCAACTTTTCATTCCAGGATCAGAGGTCTGCATGCCTCTCCACCATTTCCACACTTATAAAATACTCTTACTCATACTGTTATGAGGAAGGGAATTCAAAGGGTAAATGAAATCTACAAAGAATCTAAAACCTAGTTTCGGTTCATACATTAAATCCACCACTTTTTAGCATTATATCTTTGGGCAAGTTTCTTAATCTTTCTGACCTTCAGTCTCTTCACCTATAAAATCAGGATCATAATAGCATCTACCTCCTGAGATTGT